AAGTTGGCCCTCCTGAAGTCTAGGGCTACCGCCTTGCTGCGGGCCCTTGACACCCTACGCTGGATGGCGAATTCCAGCAAGCGATGATCACTATTGCCCAGGTGGTCAAGAACCTGGAGGCCCCTTACCAGGTCGTCACCTGCGGCCAGGACTAGGTCCAACAGGGCATCTCCTCTGGTGGGACTGTGCACCTCCTGAATCAAGTGGAGGTCCTGCATCTCAGCCAGAAACCTCCTGGAGCGGTCCGTCCCGGCTGACTGCTCCTCCCAGCAGATGTCTGGGTAATTAAAATCGCCCATGACCATGACCACCTTGCCAAGGAAACTCTACCCAAGTGGTTTCAGACCACTCAGAGGTACAATAGGTATGACCTTTGTTGCTAAACAGCTTCACGAGAAGTACTGCAAGCAACACCAAGCTTTTACGTGGCCTTCACTGACCTGACTGAGGAGTTTGATTCAGTCAACAGAGAGGCCCTATGGAAAATCCTGATGAGGCTGGATGCCTGCCAAAATTTGTTTCCATTATCAGACTTCTTCACAACAAAATGACAGCAACTGTCCTAAGCAATGGCATTGAAATGGACCCCTTCCTCGTTAGAACCGGTCAAGCAGGGATGCATGATTTTACCAACGCTTTTCCAGCTCTATTGCAGCTGTTTTGTAATGATCACAAGAAATGGGATCTTTTACCAACCAGGTGCTCCTCCACATATTACAATTAGAAGGCAGGCTTTGAAAAATATTGAGCATTGGAAAAGGCAGCCATCTTTCCAAAAAGTAAACGTAGACAATGATACTGAACACCAGATAAAATTTGCCAAGACTGCCTTTGTACGCCTTTTGAAATCATAATACCAGTACCCAAACCAAACTTCTCTACCAGGCTGTTGTCCTCTCTACCCAGTTGTATGAGCGTAAAACTTGGACAACATAACGGAAACACCTGAAAGCTTTGGAAAGTTACCATGAGTGATATCTTTGGAAAATCCTCAATATCTGAGGATATTGAGTGATATCTTTGGAAAATCCACAGATGCATCTCGAGCAGGTCCAAGGAGGTGATCCTCCCCCTCTATGCGGCACTGGTCAGGCCGCAGCTGGAGTACTGCATCCAGTTCTGGGCGCTGCACTTTAAGAGGAATGTGGACAGCATCGAGAGGGTCCAGAGGAGGGCCACTCGTATGATCAAGGGGCAGCAGGGTAGGTCCTATGAGGAAAGGTTGCGGGACCTGAACCTGTTCAGCCTTCAAAAGAGAAGGCTGAGGGGGGATCTTGTGGCCTGTTATAAACTGGTTAGGGGGGATCAGCAGGCGCTGGGGGAGTCCCTGTTCCCCCGAGCGCCGCAAGGAGTGACCAGGAACAATGGTCACAAGCTGGCGGAGGGAAGGTTTAAGTTGGACATCAGGAGGCGCTACTTCACGGTCAGGGCGGCTAGGGTCTGGAACCAGCTTCCAAGTGAGGTGGTGCAGGCTCCCACCCTGGGGGTTTTTAAGAGGAGGTTGGATGACCACCTTACTGGGGTCATTTGACCCCAGTGCTCTTCCTGCCATGGCAGGGGGTCGGACTAGATGATCTGCTCAGGTCCCTTCCGACCCTAGAAACTATGAAACTGTAGTGAATAAGTGAAGAATAAGTTCACACACTTTTACGACTATGCCACATGTCCGGATTTTAAGTGAGACATGTAAATACAGAGATTGGCTTGCTTCTTGAAGCCCTTACTAACACTCCCTCCACCCTTCCATTTGCCCTAGCTGCAGGTTAGGGATAAGGATCCCTGGGTCTTTGTCCCTGCTATATTTTTGCTACTACTTTCTTTGACTGAGATGGTATTTGCGTTAAAGTGGTCATTACTCAAAAGGCAAAGCAGCAGTTTGCTTGCTCTGTTGCTCACAATCTATGTGGGCAATCTATGTGGACTTCAGTACGGACATGGTTCTTGGCTCCCAAGGGAATCTCTGGTTTGTCATGGCCAGTGGTCTAGTTCACTTACATGCCAAATGGTTTAGTGTTAAAAACTTATCTCAGGCTTCAAATGGGATTTGGAGAACATGACAGTATTCAATTTATTTACTATGCTGGTCTGTCAACTATCCTTGAGCTAACAATTTCTACTAAAGAAATTCTCTACTGCACTGACTTCAGCCTGTGCATAATGAGCTCAGCTTCTAATGCTGCCACCCGTTCTTGTCTGCATACACACTGGTGGCACGTTCAGGGCTAGGGATCGTTTGCTTACAGGAGAGAGAAGAAATTCTAGTTGATTCCCACATATGTGCTTTTGAGACATTTTGCAAAAAGAATATTGGAAGTTATTACTTAATGTTGCTTCTAAACACTTTGGGTGAAATCCTGACTCTGAAGAAGTAAATAGGAGTTTTGTTGAATTTGGTGGAGCAAGCTGCGATTTCAGTGTGGACAGAGTCCTTTGTTGACAGCTTGTGCGAGTTCTGTCTTGGCACCAGGACTGCTTGCAATGCCTTCTTCTGTAGTGTGGAGTGAGGTGGCTGTGATGGTCCAGGAATTATGCGAGAGGCAACAATTTTTTTAGGGCGATGTCTTTTGTTGGGTAGGATAAAGTTAGACAAGTTTTGAATGCAAGGTTCATTCATCAGGTCTGAGTCCTAACCATGCACTTGGTCCAATAAAAGATATCACCCCTGAAAAATCCTTGCCTCCTACAGACTGCTACAGTATCATCTGAAAGCCCATTTCACTGATGTAACTCCTGTAACCAAGTTTCTTACACACAGGATGTGGCTCAAAATACAACCTGACAGCTATGTGAGGCCAGAATTTAATACCAGGAAAGCTGACATTAGATTGGGAAATGGAGAGCGTGGGAAAAGGAAGTTACTGTTGCATTTAACACAAGAATTAAGCTTACATGGTAATTTTTCATTTCATTCAATTTACCATGTTCAAACCAGCCACTTGGAATGGACTAATGTTGTGGGCCCCTGAAGAGCCAAGCAACAAACACAGGGTCCCTGAATATAGCTACTGATGTCCAAAGAGCTGGATTTTTCTGCCAGCTGGTGTGGCTTTGCAGTCAGCAATGATATAAGAGGAGCACAGGAAAAATATGTGCCAGGTACACACAATTCATGTTACAAACTGTCTTTGACAAAAGTCCTCTTGCCCAAGGCTGGTTTTTCTGTGCGTGAAGTATAAGATTGCCTGTCTCATTAGATAACCAGATTTTTTAAAATTTCCAGTCTACTACGCTCATGATAAATTGGATGACTTCATCAATGTTATAAACACCCGTCTGCAGCCTCTGTTTATGCAGATCCGGAAAGGAATATCTGAAGACGATGGGAGAACCTATTACGCGCTGGTGAGTACGTGATGTGCTGCCATCTTGTGGATTTCGCATTAACCACAAGTTCCTGCTCACAACACGCTGCATTTCAGAGGTGTACCAGGGAGGGGGGAGAGTTACCTGATTATTGGACATAAAATTAATTATTGTGGGGAACAGGCCAATGAAAAATGCACATTCATCCTTCCATTTTCACATTAGTAGCTCCTGTGGGCAGGGACCACAATCTTGCCAGCATGGAACAAATGTAACTTATAATTTCTCTCCAGGCTCCAGATGCCATATTTGGCTGCCATGCAGTTATCTATAGAAACGCTGTAACAAAAGATTATAATAGGAATATTATTTAGAGCAAACATACAGACTCTTACAAATGAGGGATGTATCTGCCAGCAGGCTTCTCACACTTAGCACTGTCTTGTTTTCTTTTTGCTGGGCTCCTCCAGTCTGATGCTGACAGCTGCTATAGGATCTACATGTAGAACAGGGAAGTGGGAGGATAAACTGTCAACACGATAGGTGCGTGGGAATGGAACATGGCAGCAAGGACTGTATTAGTGTCTGATGTATTTTGCATAAATATTGTTTAAGATTTGGTGCTGAAAGACAATTTTTAAAGGAACCTTTCATTTTCAAGAGAGCTTCCAGTTGGAAAGCTCCCAGAGTTCTCCAGCATGGGTGGTTTTCTTCCGCTAATCAAAAATCCTTCCAGTGGAAAAGATCAAATAAGAAATAATTTACAAATAATGGCCGTGCAGGTTCTGGATTGTAAGCAGCAGGTGGAAAGCACTGTTTGGTGATTGCATGGGGTTGGGGAATCCCTGTGATCTTTATCAATATCTGTCCCTTTCTCTGCTTCCTTTCCAATATGTAAAATGGAGCTAATGATGCATAATGGTGAAGGTATAAAAGGACTATGAATGAATAGTTGTGGTTTTCCATACTGCAGTAAGGCTGTCTGCTGGGCATAAAAAATCGTTATTAATCGCTCATCGTTACAGTCCAGTACAGTGCGTTTGGAGTGCTGCTGTATTGTATCTTGTATCCTATCACCTCCCTTCAGAATCTAACCCATCACCTTAGGTCCTGGCTCAGCGTGCAGGACAAGTTCACTACAGTTCACACACACGTACATCAGAGCCAGCACATGGAGAGGCCTGTGGCTGGAAAACAGAGAACAGTTCAGGCCAGGACTGAAGTGCACTGGCAGGGCAGGTGTGGGGACCGAGGGGTAGAGCTGGAGAGGTGATCCAAGGGCAGCACAGAGAGGGGCCTTTACAGTAAAAAGTATTGCCATCTTCTCCTCATGGCTGTAGGAAGTGACTTTGTGTGACAGCATTCTGAACCAGAAACATGTTGCTTTGTTCGGATGTAAATTCAAAGGCAGCTTTACTTTATTGTAAATTTTTTTTTATAGGTTAATCTGGCAGAAACTGAAATAACTAAAATGGCATCTGACTATGCAGAAAATGAGTTGGAATTGTTCAGAAAAACTGTAAGTATGTCATCTCATTAGCAAATCAGACTATTGGAGAAAGATGTCCTTTTTAAAATAAAAAAAAATTGTCCCTGACATCCTGAAGAATCAGCTGCCATTTTGTTTTAGTTTAAAATGGTTAATTGCACCATAAATCAAGTGGAAAAACAGTGTGGTATAAACCCATACCCTGTTGGGCATAAGTTACTGTTAAATCAAAATCACCTGTGAAGGAGTGCTTCTTAGGGCTAGAAAATTGGCAGACCTGCTTTAGTTTAATAATTTTCTTTCTTCAGCAGCTCTCTCTCTTAGCATTCCCAGCAATGACTGCTGAGTCCTGTCTGGGGAGAGAAGCATCCTCATCATAATTGGTTTCAGGACCCCCTTAACCTACATTAGATTTTGACATGAATAACCTAGTGCTTAGATTTAAAGCTTTCTGTGAAGTGGATATTATATTTTTGCTGGTTTAGCCAATGAATTCTTTGCAATAATAGGCAGCATTGTGAATTGCTATCTAAAAATAATGGCTTACAGCCCCTGAGCACTTCCCAGAGTTCCAGATCTATTCTCTGGACTCAAGATATGCAGTGTCCAGCATCGCCTGGATTGTCTTTAGCACAAGCTGTAATGAGTGTTCAGCATCTTGTGCTTTTGGCTGGTTTCTTGTTGTAACATTTTGTTCTGTTCTGTTCTGTTCTGTTCATAGAGTTTGGTGTAGTGTCTGTGCCCAGTTGGGGATTGTTTATCTTTTTGGAGTTTTGACATGAAAATGATAGCTGTTTGTTATAGCCAGCTGAGGGATGGTATGTTGCTTGCCTTCAAGAAGATCCTCACTTCTATAATCATGGCATTTGTTCAAGCCCTGTCGGTGCCCCACATCCTGTCCACACCAACAGCTTCCAGAATTGTTCCATGGCAGTTCTGGGACTTCTGCCACTTCCCTGTTGTGGCAGCGGGGTAGATCAGGGCACAGGCTGCTGCCACTGTCGTCTAGAGCTGTGCAAAGCGCAGTGGTCACAAATGTCCACACCCTTCCTACACTAGTGCTCCCCATGTTGCTGCCAGCAGGATCCCTACTGATCTCCTGCCTGGCTAATTTCCAAACACTGACAATATTCACAGAGGTGAAGAAAGTCAATTACATTCAGCTGTACTGCAGAGGCCAGCGGGACTGGTGACCTTGCAGTGTAGATTCTTCTCTGATGCGGAAGGTGCACGATAGATTCATGTCCACTACAGTATATTTAGGGGGTCTTTGAATGCTGCTTCCTGAAGGCTTATATCATGGAGTCCTGTTTGTGGAACTGTCTTCCCAGACAAGTTAGTTTGTTTAGTTTCCTGATTTGAGTTTTGATACTTGTGACTTTTATGTGCACTAACAGGATGTTGCATTTTTTTTTTTTTTTTTACATATTTATGTGCTGATTTTTTTCCCCATATCAATACATTTTTATTTCTGTAGATGGATCTGATTATCTGCTCAGAAAATGGCTTTGCATCTTCCACAGACATTCTGAACCTTGTTGACCAACTTGAAACAAAGAAAATGAAGAAAAAGGAAGCAGAGCAAGTGCTGAAAAACTTGGTGCAAGATAAGTGGCTTTCTCAGGTAACTGATTGCATAGAGTTTGCATTTCAATGGTTTTGACTTCTTTTCTCATGAGTTCAACAGCTGAAAGTGGATCTCTACTCTAAAGAATGACTGATATGGTATTGTGTGAGTGTATTTGTCTCTGTACAAGCAAAGACTGTTCCTCGTGACTGGCAGCACCACAGGCTGTCTAAGATTTGAGATCCAGGCAGAACTCTTCTCCAGTATGTTCACCCAGTAGAAGACACTGCAAGCCAGTACTCCCAGTTACACTGCGAATCGCAACGTACGGGTATAACTGAGTAGAACTGGGAAATATGCTGAACCATGCCCACAGTCCCTGTGCATGGGGTACTGCATGTATGTTGCTCTTGACTGCAGGACAGACTGATGAGTTCCAGCTTATCACTGCTGGTGCCAGCCCCAGCTGAGAGCGGACAGAGTGGTGATTCTGCCCTCACATTGGCCTGCAGAGCTGAACTGTACACAGATGTTGTGCCCCTCTTGCTTCTGGAGCCACTGCACCTTCAATTTCTCAACTGTCCTCAACCCAAGGCTTCCTTGTGTTGGGACAGTCAGAGAGGTTCCCAAAGACAAAAAAAGGATGATCATGTGCCTGACTCTTAGAATCTCAGGGAGCCTTACTTATGCTTTTGAAAAATCTCTCCCCCTTTACCCCTTTGTGTTGGGAGGAAACCTGGCCTATAATGTATATAAAAAATTGTTGCCAGATTTCCTCCCATATTTCTTAGTATCTTAATACTGTGGTAAAGAAAACCCCACTTGAAAAAGTACCTAGTACAGAGCCCTACCTTAAGTTTAGAGTGGCCTAACACACAAGAGCGGGCCTCTTTTGGGGTCTTTGGATGAGCACGTATTCTGGGGACTCTTAAGCTCTGCGGGCCACATACGTTAGAGATGATGCAGCTTTTTCCCGATGGTTTATGCATATTAGATGCTACCATTTGACCAGACTTTGGGCACTACCCAACTGGTCACTACAGATGCCTGGAAATAAGGGGATGCCAAAATTATGCTAGGTGGAATGAGTTCATGAAAAGGGAAAGTGAATTGTAAGTCTCATGTACTGTTGTTGTGTCCTTAGAGAGAAGGGGAGTACACTTTGCACACTCGCTGCATAATGGAGATGGAGCAATACATACTTAACAACTACAGAGACGTGGCAAAAAAGTGTAACATCTGTCACAGCCTTGCTATTCAGGTAACAAATCTGACTGGGCTTGTTAGACATCCTGCACATTCTTAGCTAAAGCATGTATTTTTCTTTCTGAGCATTTTTCCTGTTTAAACTTCTAGAATTGCTGTTGTAACTTAGTGATAGAGTCCGCAGTCTATAAGTACCTACACCAACACAAGGATATTTTTGTTGGTTTTCTATCATTGGCAAGATACTGTTTGAACTTGGTGAAAGTGAGCTCACCCAGCAAGACGCCTGCATCCACTACACTGATTTATTTCCCAAAGCTGGATGAGACTGGAGTTAACCTTTCTTATCCTTAAATGGGCAAAAGTCTTCAATTGTTCCGAGCCTCTGTAAATGGTAATTCCCAGGCTGGTGCATGCAACTGTCTTGCTTGTGGTGGAAATGCTGGAGTTGACTGTCCCAGGGCATAAGTACACTTGCTCCACAAACTGCATGGAGATGGTGTGCAGTGGCACCCCACAAGCATGCAATCAAGGTTTCTGTGATAAGTGGCTGGGGCCCAGCTTCCCTTTTTTACAGCTGCCAAGCCCCTGCTAGTCTGTGCCCACCTCCTGCAGCTACTGCTCCTCTCCCAGGCCAGTCTTTCCCAGGCACATGCCCCAACACCCTGTGGCTCTCACGTCCTTACATGATTCTTTCACCCCAAGAAATGTCCCTCTCTGAGCCTCCACGTGGCTTTTTCCCTGTTGTGCTTGCCAGCTTCTGCTTGCAGGCGTTCTTCAGCTGGAAGCTAAGTAACATTGTTTGAGCTAAAGCTCTTCTGTTTTGGAGGAAAGACTGATCTTCAGCTCTTTCCAAAGACTGTGCTATGCAATACTGAGGGAGACTAAAAAAGCTTTCTGATTTCAGAGTCAAGCGTGTAAAAGCTGTGGACTTGGAATGCATTTACCTTGTGCTGGAAAATATTTCAAAGCTCAGACTGAGCCACGCTGTCCCAAATGTAATAATTTCTGGCCTCATGAAATTCCAGGTATCAAGCTACTCATTTGAAAATCTCATACAATAACACTGGAGTGGGCTGTGGTATTCAATAGCAGTGTTAAGTGACAGTACTCATGATGAAGTGTCTGTGGCTGAAGGTTCATACTGACTAGAAACTTTAAAAGCTTCAGCAAGTGGCTGTTTCTTAGGCAACTGTAAGGGTCAGGGCTGTGCCCTGTCCTCACTAATGGCTAGGGCCTCACTGCTGCTGGCAGCATGTTAAATGGAAAAGATCTTGAATGATGTAAAAAGAATCAGCAGGATCCCTCTGTTTAACCAATGAAATGGAACCATGAGCAGCTAAGCACCAGCGTATTTCCAAGCATTTGAGAGTTTGTAGGTCACGCAAGGGCATTGTCAGGGAAACATTCAAGTCTACAATCTACCTTTTTGCTCACTAACTTTGCAACTTATTTTTCTCAACAGAGATAAATTGCACAGATTCCCACCTGCCCTCCAACTCCCCTGGGGAGAGGAGGAGAGCCTCATCCTCAGGAACAAGGCGGCGTTAGAAAGAGCAGCTATTGTTTTAGCAAAAAGATGTCATTCTGCAAGCAGGAATACCTGTGGGACAAAGGCAGCTGCTGCTTTATAGATTTTGTTCTGTAAAAAAACCTTGCCAGAGTTTGAAAATAAAACTTCCACTTTGGCCTCCCTGTTCCACAGTCCAGCTTGGTGCCAGTACCACTGCAGTTAGTGCAGCTCTTGTTAAGCACCTGTAGCCACATGGCTGTTGGTGAGGGCCCTGTGTCTGGGGAAGAGCAGAAGACTGGAGGCGGAGTCCTCTTAGCCTGAATGAAGCCTTGTCCAGTCAAGTGGCATGGACCTGCTGCAGCATGTTCTGTGCAGATCCCCCAAGCTGGGCTCCATGCTTACGCTGTGCACACGCTGTAACTGTTTTGAAGTAGGTGAAATCCATGCACTTCGTTTGTGAAATACTGTCTATGTCCATGGCAGGGCTAGTGCATCTAGTTCTGAATTCCACCCCTTCACTCCAGGGCCTTTCACTCCCAGCCTCCCTATTTCCTGCACTCCTTAACTGCTACAAACCTGACAGAGGTGGCACCAGGTGCACAGCTTGGGATTTCTCAAGGTTTAGGAACTTGTTTTAAGTTTTGTTTTGTTTTTTTTAATCTCTCAATGTCCTGATATTTTCTGGTTATAATAAATTGCAAGGCATGCACTTTTGCTGCATCTTCTTTTCTTTGATCTTAACCTTCCTGCAGCCTTACAGCTTCTCAGGGAAGAGGCATGTGCAAGTGGTCTTCTCATCTCGGTGTGCCAGGGACTGGAAGTTGTTTACTGCTCCTTCTCTTACATTTTTTCACATAATACCCCAGAAATCTGTGCAGGGTGGAAGTATGTGTGTAATGGGAGAACTCCAGAAGGAGGAACAACCCCAGGCTCCCTCACCGATTCAGCATGTCAGAGTTCATGCTGAAACATCATTCTAAGCAAACATGCACTTCAGGTTTGTGTAACACAGTGATACCTAGACATCTGTAATCATTAGTAGTATCAGAGCTTTAATCAAGAAAATTATATCTTCAGTCCACAGTCCACAAACCACTCCTCAAGCAAATGGGATTTTTGTTAGATCAGCAGAGGAGAGGTGACTGAAGTGCTCATATTTTAAATATGAATACTTTTCTTGTGGCTATAGTTAAAAATTGTATTATAATGGTCTGTTTTCTTTGACACTGGTGCAGACAGGGACATGATCTTACAGGTCCCTTCCAGTCCTACTATTCTATGATTCTATGAACTGCAGTAGAGATGGTGTTCACTAGGAAACGATCCATTACCATGTGAGGAATAAAATTCATTTTTCATAGACAGGCAAAGCATTAGCGGTGCAGCTGCACTCTAACTGAATTGTCAACAATGGACTGTACTTCCAGGCCTTCCTAGAAGTTTGTACTGCACAGAGAAATGTCACCTTGTTTTAGGTTGGCAACTCTTTTATTTACTGAAGTTTTGTAGAAACTTGTTATCCATCATAGTCAAAGCCAGGGCTATTCTTAAATCCACACATGGGGTTAAATTTAACTTAGTCACATGCTCCTTTCTTTCCAGTCTGGGAAATGCCTGTTTGGGGCCCAGTGTCTTGATGCCCGTATATAGTCTTGTTTTCACTGTATATACGTAGGACGGGATGATCGGATACATGCTCTTTATTAGGAATATGTACTAGAAACATCCACAAACCAAACAGGCTGTTGTAGCTGCTACTTTTTTTTTTAAACTTAGATTTCTCACAGATCCTGAAGCAAGAAATTCGGGTTTCTATTTCAGCTCTGTGCTTTGGGCAGAAAACAAGAACAATTTCTTAGAAAGACAATTCTCTTTGGGGATTTTTTAAGCAAGCATGCAGCAGGCTGTACTTTTTATTATCTTAGCTTTAGAGATTCTGTCCACACCCAGTCATAGTTACGACCACCAGAAACTGACAGAGAAGCTGATATCGAGGGATCGTATGTAGTGCCAATATTTAACTGGAATAAACAGGATCTGTCCAGGTGTCAGAATACAAGACTGAAAGGTAGCCTTTTCAAACCTGGGGAACTTAACTAAATCGGGATCCTCCACATCCACCTACAAAAACAAATGCAATTTGTTTTAATCTCCAAAGATAGCCTGGGAATTTAAGTAGGACGAATCGGGTTTTAGATTTCAAATAGCTATTTACCTGGCTGGTGTTGTGAAGCATTTGGTTTTCATGTGGATATAGGTTTTCTGATTCTTGTGGAGAATACAGACGGATATATTTTCTTCCAATTACCTACAGGTGTTAGGATATAAATGTTCCATCTGTCATTAGTCTGTACATTACCTGCTGAAATAAGGCCTAACTTCAGTTAATTAGTACTCAAACTAACAGACTTCCCCTCAGGGCCATGACAAGCAGTTAACAGTAAAATACAGCTGCATAAGAGGTCAAGATTTTGCTACTGAGGAACAAGTACTTCCTATAATGAACTGAACGAGATGCTAAACAGGTAAAAGTCCAAACCAGCAGGGAAATGCTTTTAGGGGAGGGGAGAGAGAAGCTCTTCCTCTTTGAATTCAGTGTTGTGACACCCACTTTCTACAGTGCTGTTGAACCAGGTGGCCAGTCAGCAAGAGAGTGAATTAAAACCATCAAGTCTAGCACTGCTCCAGTCCCTAGGCAGGACATTCAAGACACCAGCCAGGGGACTTCAATGCATCAACAAGTGCAGACAAGCTTGCTGGCACTCCGTAAGGTCTCTGCTTTCTATCACCATCAAATTTGTTCTCTCCATTGTAATCTTCAGCTGGGAGAAAAAAATTAAGGTAGCAGCTGTAATGACTGACCTGAACTTCTCGAAGTGGAAGCCAATTTAGGCAATACCATCACTTAGCCTACTGCTTAATTTAAGTTGTGCTGATTCCTGAGCTCTCTGCTGGCAATGATCATTTCCTCCTGCACATATATGTGCAGGGAATTTCTAGTCCTGTTGATGCCAGGATGCCCTAGACAGTCATGAGTAACACTGAATTAGGATTGCATCCACCTCACCTGAATCTGCTACGCTGATAAAAATAAGAGTAAGACCGGCATTCTGCCTGATTGACAGCTGACAATGCCCTAGACTGACACTGGGAACCACCCCAAAAAACTCCCTGTGTCCCCACACTCTCTGCTCCGACTCCCCCTTTTCCACTGCACGCAGCTGCTTGATGCCTCCATTTCCCCATATGTAAATGGACAAGAGGACTTCTCCACCTCAGAGGGGTTATGGTGACTGACACTGCTTGTCAAGTGATATTCCCGTTTAGTCGGCATGAAAGCAAACTACTAAGGCTGCTTAGTCACAGTACTACTGCTGGTTCCTGGATTTTCCTTTTTTAGAACAGGCCTGAATCTATTTTTGCTATAGGGACTAATATTTCCCCCAGCAAATATTGGGGACACTGGGTTAACACTGGGGTGTTAACTCCTTTTGTTCACCTCCCTAAGCCTTTGCACCAGCAACTAAGGACTCTTCCTTTTTGAGGTAGAATCACAGAAAATCAGGTTTGGAAGGGACCTCAGAGGTCACATCTAGTCCAAGCCCCTGCTCAAAGCAGGACCAGCCCCAACTATATCATCCCAGCCGGGGCTGTGGTCGAGCTGGGCCTTAAAAACCTCCAAGGATGGAGACTTCCCCCACTGCTCTGGGGAGCCTGTTCCACTGTTTTATTACCCTCATGAGTTTTTCCCGATATCCAACCTCAACTTCCCTTGCTGCAACTGGAGCTCATTGCTCCTTGTCTTGTCATCTGCCCCTACTGAGATCAGCCCAGCTCCATCCTTTTTGCAACCCCCCCCCCCGCAGGGAGCTGAAGGATGCTATCAAATCCCTGTCTTTTCTCCAGACTAAACAAACCCAGTTCCCTCAGCCTCTCCTCATCAGTCATATCTCCCAGTCCCTGAACCATTTTCATTGCCCTCCGCTGGACTCTCCAATTTGTCCACATGCTTCCTGTAATGGGGGGCCCAAAACAGGACACAGGACTCCAGCTGTGGCCTCATGGGTAGAAGGGCACACGGCTGGCTGGAGCAGCAACAGGCTTGTATCATCCCCTCAATGACAGATAATAGCCTTTCTTGCAGCAAAACAGCAAGAAACTGCTCACATTGGGGAACTCTTCCCACCTTAGGTAGGACTGGCAGCAGCTGTTCACCTGCATGACAATTCAAAACAGTCATTTGAGCAGGTTAAGTGGCAGAGGATGAGATCTCCAGCTGAAAGTGCGGGGTCACAAGGGACCAGGACAACAGGGCTGACACCCCCATACAAACAAACATGAGCAGCTCAGGCTTCAGTTTAATGGCTCAGGTAGAAGACACATGGGAGACTGCAATACCTGCATTTGACTTTGAGCACTGACTGAGGTTTGTATTCAGAGTCCAAAGGGAGCAATTTGGAGGTCTCCAGCCAATAAGGAACTCTGCTGAACATTTTAGAGTGCACACAGTTTGGCTGGGAGTGTTTGTGTAGTACCTAGAGTTTGTAATCAGTCTTGTGACATAGTGTACTGTGTCCTACTAACTTGGTCATGGTGAGACTATGTAACAGAAATTAAAAGGTATGTGCAAAGGGCTAATTTATCAGATAATTAAGGGCATGGTATGTGCTATGGGGCTATACATCTGTCCACGGTTTTGTCACACCTTGGAAAGGGGCAAGGCTAATGCTGTAGGTAGAAATCTGAAAAAAAAAAATGGGCCCCTCCTGTCCCAGACTCCCCTCTTCTCTTGGAAAAGTGACTTCTTTGCTGCATCTCAGTTCCTCACCTGTAAAATGGGAATAACTGCTACTTCCCTACTTCACTGGGAGAAGGCTGAGGACATCAATGTATTAAATATCTGTCGTGGGCCCATACAAAGATGCAAGGGTGATGAATGTAATGGAGAAATCACAAAATGTTTGCAAGAACTCTTCTGACTTCTCAATCGAGTCTGGGGCTGCCCTTGTATCCAGTAGTTATGAACAGTATTGTTAAAGTAACAGTGGGGTTAGACAGTCATGAAGGTAGAGTACAGACCTGGACTAAGAAATTTTGCTGTGGATCTTGATGAAGAGGTGAGATGGTTCCTTCGGGGCCAAACCAGGCATTAATGGTGATGTGGTCTTCTTCCCCTTCCCCCAGGCAGCAATAATCAGGGATGTTAATATCCTCCTTCAATTCTGGGATCTACTAGCAGTAATCAAAAACAGTACACACACATTAAGAGGGTACCTATGGTAGCCCAGGTAGGACAATTCACAGGGTAGTACACACCTGGATGATACATGCAGAGCAAATGATCAGGACCTAGCCAAAGGAGCATGTGTCACTCAAACCAGTATAATACAGGCAGCAGGTACAAGCTGGAGTAAAGTTATAAACCAGCTGATGAATAAACCATAAAGGTTGGATTGTCCAAAAGGGCCAGGGAAGGCCACTGAGGAGCGGTGGGAAATGTCACCCTGCTGCTGAAATTTAAAGCCAAACATCTGTAGGGACTTTTTCTCTTTTTAGATTCTGCAAGGAAATTTTTGCTTTCTGCGCTCAAACTCAAAACCTAGTATCACATCCTCATGAAATTTCAAGCAATTCACTAATAATATATGATATTAGAATGCTGATCTAGTTATTTAATACATTTTTTTGTATCTAAATAGATGTGACGTAACAAAATAAAATTAATGCATTTAATTCACTCTTTAAAAAAGAAATTGCCATTCTTTCTTGTTGTCTTCTAACCACAGTGGTGACCAGCTTGCCTGTTTTTCCTACTGTGCCCATCCCTGTAGCAGCACTGGAATGTCTCCGAATCCTTAACCAAGGGAGGCCGATGGTTTACTTTTTCTCCCTACCCTTTCACAGGCAGTTAAATGTTTCTACTTCTATTGATTTCTCCTCCTTTTCCTGTTCCCTCAGCTGCCCTGCTGAATCAGTGCTAGATGCATTTCTGCTCAAAAGACTTGCTTATTATTTTTACCCACAGGCCTCAGGGAGAATCAAAACCTGTGCTGGGCACTGTACAAGTACACCAACGGCCCCTGCCAGAAGCTGTCTGTTGGCAGAGGCAGGACAAGGTGAGGGACAACAAAACAAGGGAGGGAGAGGTAGCCAGAGCACAAGAATTTCAAGAATGAATCAGGCAGCCCTTAACCTTCCCTCTGATCCCTCATGTCAACCCAGCTTACTCCCCCAGTGAACTGGTGTGAAAGCTCAGCGGTTCCTACACACAGAGAGGGGAGACAGGCAGAGGGTGCAGCTGTCGCAGTTCCAGAAAGAGACTCACCTGTCTTGCTGCAGTGACAGTGATCAGGGAGCTCTGATCAACAGTACAAAAGAGACAATCCTTGGCTGCACATCAGAGGACAGTTTGTGACCATTCTGCTCTGCTGTCTTGCCTCTCTGAGAGCCATGAAAAATAGCTGTACACAGGATGGTCATGCCAATAGTGTCACTATGCAACACAACTGCATCACATTACCAGCTGTATTTATTTAAATAGAAAGGAGGTAGCGGGCGAGAAAATGCCTGTTTGTCAGCTGTGGAGCAGCTGAGCTCCTCTCCAAGGAAGACTGGTGTCTGTCCAAATCTCATTCTGACAGATTTATTTCCTAGGAGCGGTGCTGCTGTCCAGCTTGTGCAAGCAAGTGACATTATGTGGTGCCAAAACACTGCAGGCCAAATCTCCCCACTGCCTAGGAGAAGCCGCACACTAGCCAGAGCAGAATAAAAACAGAGCCAGAAGCCCCAAGTCACAGCACAGGGGACAAACACTAAAACACTCTGGACAACACACACTGTTCTTCCACTGAACAGAGTCCACATTGTGATCGAGACCCCAGGCAGGACCCACTGCTGCAGGGGAAAAAGCAACTGTGGCCAGTTGAATATCCATGCTTAGATTTACCTGATCAAACAGCTGGTGCTGGGCAAGGTATCCAACGTTGTTCTGGAATGACGATGAGAGAACAAAAAGGAATGAATTGTGATTCATAGAGCCTGGGCTCTCCATCACTTCCAGGTAAAGTCAATTTCTAACAGCTGTTATTTCAAAACACTAGAATGAACTTACTTCTTGCCTGCTTTGGCCGGAAGCAGGTCCCTTTCACTTGGGCAGAGGATAAGACTCCACTGTGCATGCACTGTTGTGTGGACAGACCTGAGCTGATCAGGGACTGCAGACAGGCAGGGGCCAATATACCATAATAAAAAGCCAGGTAAGTTTGCCCACACGCAACTTTCTGTTCCTGCAGCCAGGCAGCACCCCACACCCATGCTAGCAGGTCTGGGTGCCTCTACACTACAGTGCAGTCTGCAAACCAAATATACCTCAATATGATCCTCCAACTAGAAGGCTAAGGAACCAGGAAGCTTCTCAGCTGACATCCACAGTACAGACTGCTGTGTCGCCAGTCAGCCATCTGGTTTCTTCACTGCCCAAGATTGATATGCAGTAATATTGGAACTTAAGTCTTAGAACTCATAAAACCCTACACATCAACCAGAGGAATAATACTGCTGGCTATGGCTATGGAGTCGGCCTGATGTTCCTGACCTGCAGAAGACTCCGCTGTTTCAGGGTCAGGCCACATAAAAACAGACACTAGCTAGGGCAAAGAAAAATCCAAATGATCTTTCAATAGGAGAACATCCCCATTTTGTGTGCAACAGCACCAGATTTAAGCAGCAGGAGAGCTGAGGCCTCTGCAACTGCATGCCCATCTTTTTCATAACAACCCTAAAAGTGGTGAGGAGAAGAGTTTGGTTTCTAGTCACACCAGCATCTCTGTTGCAGAGATGCAAATGCATGCACACACACAAAGCAGGTCCACTGTAGAGACTGCAATGAATATTCATCGCATGAGTCTCCTGACTGACTGTGCAATGTTCAAAACCACCTGAGCGGCAAATCCCCCCATGGGCAGCCCCACTCCACCCCTTAAAGAGGCAGAGTAATAGGTATGTGTAACACAGTACTCCCCAGCACAGGACTGGTGTTACATCTGGCTCTTGGAAAACTCCTGAAACTTCTGATGCTGCACATTCAGGCCTAAACAAGGAGAAAGCACTCACTGCTGCAATCAGCCTGAAAGTGTAACTGGCACAGTAATTCATAGACCTGTTTATAAACCCCAAGCTCACTCAAGACTCACGGTGCTCTGGAGAGGTGCCGGAGGACTGGAAGAGGGCCAACGTGGTTCCCATCTTCAAAAAGGGGAGGAAAGTGGACCCCGGAAACTACAGGCCAGTCAGCCTTACCTTGATCCTGGGCAAGCTGTTCGAGAAAATTATTCTGGCACGCATCCAGGAGGGGCCAGCAGGGAACGGCATGCTCAGGGGCAACCAGCACGGGTTCATCAGC